GTGCGAGTCGAGACGTGAGACCGCGTGCGAGTCAGCGAGACTGCGTGCGAGTCGGGAGGACGTGAGACCTGTATGTGGGTCTGTACGCGAGATGATGTCCGCGAGACTGTGCACTGTTTAGGATATGAGACTGACTGCAAGTCTGGACATGATACTGCGTGCGAGTTGCGCAAGTTGGGACAAGATAGGGGCGAGCAAGACCGCATGGGGCAGGACGCGAGACCGCATGCACGTCAGGGAGAGTTCCAACTTGTGGTCAAGACACCTCTATTAGGTATGTGTCATTCTTCTACTTCTACTTCTACTTCTATACTGGACAGTCCGTAAGGAATAAACGTCCAGGAAGTGCGCGAAAACTCCAGGTGCACGTGAGAGATTTGCATGGAATATTTTTTTTAATGTAGGCAGTAATGTGTTCCAGAGATCGAGGCTTCTCTGGGCCAGGCACTCATTACTGAGTGCGACTAGCATACGGCAATAGGCTGTTGCGAGCTGTTGTAGTTGCCCAGCCGGAGATGCGTTTAACTTCCTCGAGATGGCTTAACAACGATACTGCCTGACTCAATGTTTTGCCAGAGGGACCCAGTGAATTGCTGTGCTGTTGGACTAGTGAGTAGTGATTCCGGTAGCAGATTCCAGCTTCTGATTGTTCTAGGAAAGAAGCTGAACCTGTACCATCTGTCCGGGTTCTGATGTTGTTGTATGTAAGCTGGTGTGTGCCGCGGCATATGCTGGTGCTTTTGGTGAGGAAGGATGGAATGTCGACTGCTGCCTGTCCGTTGATTATTTTCCAGAATAGGGCCTGTCGGTTGACAAACTTGCGTTCCTGCAAAGAGGGCCATTCAAAGCGACACACTGGTTGGTCGGACTACACGTGCCTGTACATGCGCACGCTCCACCTACCATTGTCGACGACGGACGACGCGAAATCTACACGCAACGACTGGTACTCCACACTGTCGCACGGCACGCCATCGTCATCGCCGCCGTCGCCTCCGCCAGGTCGCGTGTCTGCACTGCCCACAAGATACAAGTTGCTGACTAGAAGGCAGAGAACCGAGCACAGGTGGAGTGCGCTGGCCGATCGGGTGCCGATCCGCATCACATGAGCATGGAAAACTAAACTTTCGCCTTCTGCAAGATAAAAGGAACATTAAAATCAAAATGACGTCGTGTTGTTTTAAAAACAACCCCAGTTTGCCGAATTGAGTATTACCATACTCTGTTGCGTTTTTTTTTCATCTAACCATCTAAGTAGCAATGTCTGCATGCATTTGATTTACTTTTTTAGGCTTACATGAAGTTTTTGTCGTATAACTTAAGACCAGCGCTCCAGGGTAACACACCAAAGAGACGAAATACTTTATTTTAGTAAACCGGACAGGCATAATAGCACAACGTCATCAAAAACTAGTGTACTTACATAATAAATTGTTGATCATAATAAAGACTATACATGTATAACTAATAATTAGTACATATTAGTAATATTTACAACATTTTCATGCCAAGAACGGAATGTAAACATTTAACTAGCAAATGGCGATCAAACTGGCGATTCGCTAGGCAATCCTGAAAATGACAGAATTGGGCACGTAAAAATTAAACGTTACATAAATATAAAAGATTATATAAAGCCGTAGGCTTACATTCAACTTATTTTAATTATATATGATCATATATCTTCATTTTTCAGTTAATTATACGTCGTCTTATAAGTCAAAAATGTCCCGTGTTTTACGATAGATGGCAGCAGCGCTGATAAACAAATCACTAGTAAATGAATGGTGGCTTGCTGGCAGAAGTTCAGGTGGAACTGAAAATACGATAGATGTGCTCATTTTCGCGCAAGCAATGTTTTCAAAAGGAAATACGAATCGTCCACGTCAAGCTGGCTTACACCAGGTGAGGTTTCGTTGTCATTAGATTCGCTGACATTGACGGTATTCATGATATTGTTTCGCCGCCCACACAAACAAAACTGTCAAAAGCTACACAAAGCGAGCACACATTTGATCACGTTTTATCATTGTTAGTAGCTAGTAGACGCACGACGCAGTGAAATGGAGGGCATTTTCGTAGACTGAAGTTACATGAAAGTAATGGGTACCGTATGGTATGACTTACGACAGTTACACTGTATACTACTATAAAATTAAAAGTACTATTACTATTAGTATTATTACTAGTAATGACGCAACTGTTCGTATGCGCTATTCGTCCGAGCAGTTGTTGCGCATGCGCTGTTCATGTTTTATTACATAAATGTAATATAATGCTAGTCTAGGGAGGCGCCTACTCCCTAACCACGCCTACTCCCAGTCTCCCTAACCCTAACACTAACTATAAACCGACTCGGTTCTGTTATTACATGCTCGGTTTCGTATATATACGCGAGTGATACTTGATAGTACCAAACACTATCTATGGTGTATAACCACCTACACAACGCATGTATGCAGGGGCGTCACAGCCGTAGGGTTGCCGTAGCAAAACGCTACGGGCCCCCAGCCTAAAGGGCATAAAATAATCAAAAATCTAAAGGGTAAATAGCATTTTAGAGCGTCTCGATTTAAAAATTGTGAGACCCCCAGACACCCCCTTCACACTTCCTACCTACGGCACTCGTAGTCTCGTGTCGTGCGCCTGTGGCATGCAACATAAACAGCGCATGCACAACAACTGCTCGGACGAATAGCGCATACGAACAGGTGTCCGATGCTTGGACGAATATCCACGGTGTAATACTAATACTAATAGGTTTTCTGGGTCAAACTTCAATTTCAAAACAACTTCCAAATAATTATAACCTGATACGATAATCTAACCCTAGTTTTAACTCTTGCACGTAACTCTACCTTAGTGGTGAAGTTAAACAATTATTAAATGTATCATGTACGTGTTCTGAAATTTGTTTTACAGCACTTTTAATTAATAACCGCTGTACTTGTCATAGTTTGGTTTGATGGATGTGCCAGACATCAGCGGTATGGAAGATAACATTTACGGCAAAGATGATGACGATGGTGACTTTGAGGCAGAGCTAGCCGCCCTCACGGCTGGCCACGAATATGTTAGACCAAAGAGAAAGGCACCAAAACAAGGTAATATATTATCCTTGACAAATAATTAGCCGATGATAGCAATTAACTGAATAGTGCAGAAGAATTACAGACAAGACTTTTTATTTGCACAATATTCGATAGTGCGCACGCAAGAAATTGTAGATTTCTGTTTGAATGGGATTAACTAACCGATGATCCCAGTGGTCACAGATGTTGCTGCTGTTGTTGTTGTACGTTCTTCTTCTTGTTGTTGTTGTTATTTTTCTCCTTCTACTTCATTGGTACATATAGTCACTTTGTAGCATTCCCACAGTACTGTGCAGTATAGTTTGTGTTCTTTGTTACTCCCGCAAGTGAACTCTGGCATGAATTTTATCCCGCAGACTTATTCGTGGATCTGTCAGACCTGGACAAGATCGGAGAGGACATTCCCGACGATGAATTGAGCGGGGGTGATGATGATCCAGACCTTCTGGTGAGTGCGCATTGTAACATCATGTGCGTGAATGCAAACTTCTAGTACCTGACAACAACCTTTGTCGTCAGTAGGCTATAACGATGAGGGGCAGATAATTAGCTCATCTGACGAAGTCAGATGCAGCTTGTAGAATTGCATGAGCGTCCGTCCATGATCCGTGTGTCCGTCCGTCAACAGTTGGACACAAATCTTAACCGCTCGACGTACGGTCACGATATTCGGGACGTCGGGGGGGATCGTGAAAAGGCCTCGGGATGACCA